GAGCACCAGCCCCGGCGTCCGCTGCCGCTGCGGCCCAGGTGATGCCTGACAAAGAAGTGGGTGAAGGAACGGGGGAAAGGGGACCCCAGGATGCAACCGGGAATGCTAAACCGGAATTCAGACGTGTCAGAAAAGAGGAAAAGCCTTTGTACGTAAACTGAAGTCGTTCGTGAGCGCGTAACAGGGAAGGCAGTGTTAAATTCAAAGATGACACTCACAGTACGAAATGAGACATAAATAGCTGAAGTATTTCTATGCGAGAGCAAACATCTTCACGGTGGAAAGGATACAGTATTGGCTCATGTTTATACGTTAAATTCCTAGTATTTTGGGATGAGAAGCAAACGTGGGACTTAATACTAATTATAATTTCCTTTTTAATTAACAGAGGTCCTTCTCCAGGATGTTACAACCGAGACTGCAGTTCACCTGCTGGGTTCTGGCTTGCATGTTTGGCATCTAAGATGCTTCTCGGGCTCATTTTGGCAAAAAGGTAACGTACTCCGCAAACCCATGCCTCCTCAGCTCCCTGCCGGAGCCACGTAGCCAGGTTTTGCGTCACCTGCCACCCTATTTCCAAGCTCCCACCTACTTACAGAAACAGAGTCAAGAGGGGCAATGCCGTGACACCAGCGCAACCAGCTGATAAAGGCCAGGAGTGAAAGCGTGGCGCGCTCAGAAGCCGATGAACTGCAGCAACCGGCGTCCGAGCAATACGCTTCCTTTAATGCATCATTAGTTAAGATTGCAATTTTCCCATAAGGAATGTTACGCTCTCAGATAATGAGCAACAAATCTTCCACAGGCTCAGGAAAAGAAATTTTTAAAGGTTTGTGGTGGGTTTTTTTGTTTGTTTGTTTGGGGTTTTTGTTTGTTTGGTTTTGAGTCTTTTAACACAAATATTTGCAGTTCTGTGTGATGCGAGTTTACATACGAGGCAAGGCAGCCCAACAGCCGTTCTTGAAGCTCTAACTTTCTATGGCTGTTCCCTCAGGATTCCCCCTGAGCAACAGATATTTGTCTGGATGGGATAGTTCCTTGTACAAATTTCAATAAGCAACACTGGTGTTGAAAGCAGCTCTATTCCAAGCGTCTGCACTTATTTTTAACGTCACTGGAACACGGCCAACCTGTACTTGGCATTTCAATGAGATCAGGAATACCTACACAGAACACAATATAAAAGCATCTTGGATTCTAATGGGTGATTTTTTTAATCATGGGCCCTCCTGGCTGAGCAATGAGGCGCATCACTCTTTTAATTTCCAGGAAGCAGTGGGAGGGTTGTATGACCTCACTCATCATTAATTTCTACAACATCCTTTCAAAAAGTGTTCCTCTTCTTATGCCAAGGACTATGGGCAGCAAGGGAGAAGGGTAGCTGTGATGCTGGGAATCCAATTAAAAGAACACAAACCCCTGGAGTGGCAATTTCTCCCGTTATTTTATTGCCATAAAAAAATCTGACCAGAAATGAGATGCTTCTCCCAAACTTCTTATTCCTAAAGGACAAGATACCAACTCCCGGGGGGATGTAGGAAGACTCGCTTTACTTTTGTCTCTCCCTCCTGTCCTCCAGTATAAGCTCTCTGAGCTTGATCCCTCGATCCGCTGCTTTTCAGGTTAGAGCCTTCCCTCTGCCAAGGCTCCTCTCTGTCGCAGGCTGCCCTGCGCAGCTCCCCACGAAACTTCCCTTCCAGTAAGCTGCTTTCACTCCTAAGAACGCTCCGAGGCTGCCTCTCCACCCTCTCCCATCTGGATTGCTGACTGACTGCCAGAAGAGTCAGCAGTATTCCAAGCAGAGCAGAGCCTCCAGAGGCCAAGGTCCTGTTTTTCTGCAGAGCAGGTATTTGACGCCTTTCACTTTGTTTCCGAAGCCCCAGGAGAGCAGGAAGGAAGCAAGGAACTGGCAAGTATGTGCTTATTTTTTCTTGCTTGGCATCAGTAGAAATTTTCAAGAGGTAGGACAGATTACAGCCATTTACAACAGCAGCACCAACAACCCCCAGGAGGCAGCGATGGATAGAGGCGGGCACAGGTCAGATGTATATTCTCTTGTTAACACCGTCTCCTTCTTCGTATCGCACGTTCAGTTATGCTGACGGGAGGTAATGCAGCGGTGCGCTGAGACGCCCCAGGGGAGCGCTGCCGGAGCAGGAGGTGAAGCAGCCTGGGCAGGGGGTCACACCAATGCATCTCGAGACTCCTGCTAGCTCAGCTGCCTTCCCAACGCTGGACATACCGGCTGCAGACTCAGCTCTGCGCTCACACGAACTTTAGGGATTCCTGGGCTGACGTGCACAGTGGCCTGATGTGACCTGGACCATTAAGCCCTCGGTCTTTCTCTAATTGACTGCTGCTCTGCATTCCAGCAGCGCCCGGTCATTCCTGCCTAAAACCAGCACCCAGTGATGTGAGAATGAAGAGACAGTCCCCTATCTTTCTTTCGGTAAAAATTCCTCACAGAAGCCTAGGCAATGAGAACAGATTTCCTGGGCTTTAGTGACAAAACTAGTACATTTTATCTAAATATTACTGATGTATTTTTCCATCAAGCAAATAGCTAATCTCATACATTTTTAAGATGACTTCAGTGGGAGAGAAGGAATCCGTTTGCTGCATTTTTCACTAGAACACCTGGCCAGAAAATGCCAGTGAATGCTTTTTATTGATTCACGGTTATTTGTGTGCTTGGGACAGAGTGCGATTGCTTGGCATCAGCAGAACTGATCCAGCAAGGGAGCAGCTGGTACTTCCTTAGATTGTTCGGATGCCTGGTTTACTGAGCGGGGAACTCCCTGCAGCCAAGTCTTGCTAATTTTAGCCTTTCCGTTTGCCAGTGGATTTTTGAGTTTTTATCAGTCAGCAAATATTAAAAACTGATGAATAACCCAAGCTGACTACATCACCATTAACATCCACGGAGGTGCACACACACAAAGACGCCCTGACACATTAGCCATCTGTTTCCCCCGAAGACCTCGGCAGCAGAGGAGGGGGCCAGGCTCCAGAGCAACGCAGGCACCGCACACTCCTGGCTTCCACAGATGGAGGCTGGGGAGTTCATTTACCTTCCTTCCACGTGAAAGGACAGAATTTGTAAAATTTATTAGGCATATCCTTGCCAAAAGTCCGCTATTCTAAGCCTCCTGGGAAAGATTCGTCAGCTTCTCCTTTTCACATGATCTTTATAGCAAAAGTGTATTATGAATAAAGCCCAGTAAAATTCACATTAGCTTAACGGCGGTTCACATTTGGAACCTGCCATTCAAACCCTTTTGTCCAGGGATGCTTTGAAATCCTCCTGGAAAAGAGAGACTTGTACCTCCCACCCACACCTCCTCTCGCTGCGGAAAGCTCGGAGAGCGCGACATGAAGATGCCCTTTTCCCAGCGGTCGGCTACGCTTAGCGCGAGAGCACAGGCACCCTCCCTGCTCTTCTCACGGCTGTTACAGGCACAGACACAAGGCGAGGAATGGGAGAGGTAGAAGCAGCAAAGCTTTTCCAGGAACCACAAGGACCCAGCAGTCATTCAAACAATGCCAAAAAAACCAACCAGACAACCAACCCGAAGCCAGACGAGGAGGTCCTTCCCACCCCAGCTGATCATAGGTAACAGGAAAGAAAGCACTCACCTCCCTGTTTACTTCTGTCAAGATAGATTGAAACCCTTCGGGCCAGACCTGTGAGAAGACAGGGATTAAGGGGTTGACGCTAAGGGTAAGTTGGTCAGCGAGAGCAAAAATAAATCTTAAAAAAAGGATTAGAAAAAGCAACTCAAATTAAAGGAAAGAACATAAAAGAGAAGCAGAAGCACCAAGAGCAGCACATGCCTCCATCCAGAGAGCAGGCACTAGTTCAATCACAGCATTCCCTGGGAAGCCATCAACGGTGGAGCTTGTCATGTGTGAAGTGAGTACTCTGGCTGGCTGACAACAGCACAGATTTGACATTTCTTCTTGAACAAGGAGACTATCCTTTGCATGCTCTGGTCCCTGTTCTGAAGTAAAATGCATCAGGAAGTGACAGACGGAAATCCAAGTGACTCAAGGACAAAACACGAGGCTTCTACCACGGAAGGCCTGGGCTCCCCGCAGCAAGTGCCGCTGTACCGGGGACTCCCCTGCCTCGTGCTGCGGGGGACAGCTAACCAGCCCCCAGAGAGTGCAAACAACGTACGGCTGCTCCACTGAAACAACCCTTAAATCACCCACAGACACAGACCAGTTTCTAGCCGTCAGGCAATAAGAGAGCACGGCAGCAAACAGGGAAGCGAGAGGCACCTCGGGACAACCCTGGCAAATCTTGCACAGGGAGCTCCAGGTATTTCGGAAGAATCATAGAATCGTTTAGGTTGGAAAAGACCTTTAAGATCATCCAGTCCAACCATTAACCTACACTACCAAGTCCACACTAAACCAGTCAAGGGTAGACCCGACTAAACCATGTCCCCAAGTGCCACCTCTGCCCGTTTTTTGAACGCTTCCAGGGATGGTGACTCCCCCACCTCTCTGGGCAGCCTGTTCCAATGCTTGACCACCCTTTCCGTAAAGAAATTTTTCCTAATTTCCAACCTAAACCTCCCCTGGCGCAGCTTAAGCCCATTTCCTCTCGTCCTATCGCTAACTACATGGGAGAAGAGACCAACACCCCCCTCACTACAACCTCCTGTCAGGGAGTTGTAGAGAGTAGTAGAAGAGGTAGTTGTAGAGGTAGTTGAAGAGACCAGGCTGAGCCCTTCGGTCCTCCCCTGGCAGCCCTTTAGAAGCGATATACGGGTTTTCTTTGCTGAATTAGAGAAGGGAAAACAACGCAGGCACCTGCGACAGCACACAAGGAGCTGGGGAGGGAACAGCTGAGCGGCCGGTGCCTGGCGACTGTGAAGCAGCTGGTCACACTTCTGCGTTCTTCCAAATTCCAGAACTGTACTGCTTTGAAGGGCAACGCCATTCCGACCGGGGGATCGCAGCTTGCTTCCCTTTGTCGCCAAGGAACAATACAAAACATGGCAGTTTTGTTCAGGAGCACGAGCGTGGCCGCTTGCCGTAAGAGACAGCCTGAGCTGCGCGACCCAGCCTGCCCGGCAGTGCAAATTCGGAGCGGCTCCAAAGCGAGCCCTCGTGCAGACACCAGGCGATGGGTCTCTGTGCTGCCCTGCAAGCTCACGCCGCTCACGCAACCCGCAACCTTCAAACAGCCTTTTCTATCGAAATTGCCAGAATTCCCAAAGTCTCCGGCTGTGAAATCACAGCTTCAGAGCACGTCAGGTTTATGTTCTTCCTACACCGCTGGCTAGAAAATGCTGGTTTTCCTACATCTTTTGAAACACTAGGCTATTAACAAGAGGCAGTTTGCCTTTTCTCAGCCCCCTCCATCTCTCATGCTGGACACTCCCAGTCACTGCCTTACGCTAGAGCGCCCGGTACCAACGCTGCTTTAAACACCCCGATTTGGACTGAAAGAGACTCTCTTGGTGCATCGCAAGTGCGGATCTAAACAAGATCAAAACCAAATAAAAATCTTACACAGAAAAAAGAGGGTTCCCACACAGTGGTTTGCCAGTGTTTAAATTAAGACTCACCTACCCTGAGTCTCAAGTCAACTATTAAGTGCGATGAACTGGGGCCAAGTTTAACAGACTAACTTGGCTGTGTCAGCTCATTTCCCTCACCTCGGGCTGCAGACCACAAACAAGTCCTTTACGGAGCATAAAAGCGTAAGTTCTGTGCCTCACGCCGGCCTGCTCCCCCCTCGCAGGCAGCCCTCGAGCATGTTAGCGTTGACCTCCCATTACTCAGACCACCCAGGGGTGCTCTTCAAGCTTCCAAAGGAGGCACTTAGGTATCACATATTCCTCTCTCCTTTTATAAGTGGGAAAACTGCCTAGAAAAGTCAGTATTCTGGTTGCTGTCAAGAAAACTATTAAATTCAGAGATGAGTATGACACAGGGAAAAAGGGTGCGAGAGGAGAGAAGGAAATCAATAGTAGGAGCGAACAAACTCCAGTAAAACTCCTGAGCTCTGCAGCTTCAAAGATGCATCTTCAGTTTTATGAGCCAGTGCTGGACCACAACTATGGTCTTGGCAGCAAAAGAACTGTGCGAGAGAGTCTCTTTTTTCCAAGGGGACTTGATCCACATAACTCTTTTGAAGTGACTACGTTTATTTCTCTCTCCACAAGAAATCTGTCCTGCTCTTCTTCCGAACCTCATTCTATTGCTCCAAAGGTGAAAAGCAAAGAAAACAGGACCCAGACTTCCTAAAACTATGCAGGAAAGAAAAGAGAAAAAAAAAATTCTTAAAGAGAACAGACTTAAAAGCTTCAGCACTCCTGTTTTGACAAGTGTAACCATTCGACTCTTCCAGCTAAGCCAGCTCTTGCCTCAGCCCTTACCCTGCTTTGCAGTGTCAGACATCGACGCTAACAATCCCTCCTGCTGTATTAAAGGCCAGTAGAGAGTAAGGGGCACTCGGCAAATGCTACGCCTTGGTAAGGTGCGCGCAGAAAGTAAGGCAGGAACATGGAATTAGCCTGAGGGAGTTCAGTCGCCAGTCGTCAGCATCCCCCCTGGACACGACTGACGATGCAGCAAGAAGCCGACGATCAGAGCAGTCCGGGGGAACTCCCAGTTCTTTGGGCGAGTCCGTTACCAGCAGCAAGGGAGCGAGATCCTGAATCCAGGGATGGTACACGCTAACCGACACGCTTCAGGAAAGCTGGTGTTGACAAGAAAGCAATACAGGCCAACCGAAGGACGTACAAAGGGCAACTTGGGACGACTACTGGACACCTCCCGCCTAAGGAGATCCAGGCCCTTCACCGCTCGCTGCATTACCACTGTTTTCCTCCTGCCTTTATTGACATCTCTGCAAAGAGCAGGTTTTGACCATGGCAATTTTCACAGTATGCTGCAAACTTCCAGCAGCTTATAATCAGTTTTGTGCACGTACCGCAGCGAGGCGCAGAGCCTAAAGTTACCTCAAATACAGTTCCTCTTTCCTAAAGCACCAGAGACAAACCGTGAGGCGTTAAGGAAAACACAACAGACATGAGCCCAACAAGGCAGCACTGGTAAAATCCCATGAATAGCTAAAAGGGCTGTGTCAGGCTCCTGTGATGAACCACATAAGCTCAGAAATGAGAACTGTCAGATTCTAAGGTCAGGATGAATGATGACGGTCATCTCATCCGCCCTCCTGCACAGCTCAAGCCAGGGAGCCTCGCCCAGCAAGTCCTGCATCAATCCCACAAATGCTGATTGAACTACCGCACATTTAGAAAATCTTGTAGCCTTGATTAAAAATATTTAAGTGACAGAGAATCACCGTTACAGCATTAGTACGTTACCAGGTCTCGGAAGGACGAAACGTCCACCTCTTTTGATGTCCTAAACCAGACTTCAGGGTTACTCAGCTGGTCTTCTGGCTTCGCCCTGCATATGGCTGCCTGCCTGTGCTCCTCTCTACATCTTTTTCTAGCCAACTTTTCTCACGTTCAAAGCAGGTCATGTCTAACTGTGCTGTCCTTCTGCACGTGTCAGATTTAGATCGCATATTCTCTTGCCACCTCCCGACCCGCAATAAACAGTGAAGAATAATTGCCAGAATTTGAGCTCAGGCTAAAGGAGGTCACAGGTGCAACATGCAAAGCTGAGCAGCCCATCAGAAGGAAAGAGGCAATATGTGAGCTCCTATCCCACCCAAAGGGGAAGAATAACCTCCTGCCACGCCGAGCGCGGAGCAGGGCAGTGCCCAGTGCCACCGTTGTTCTACAGTTCTCTCCTTAGGAACACAGTTAAGAGGAATGCCTGGGCAAGACAGCTGCTGTGAAGCCTGTAGAGGACAAGGACTTTGTACCCTTCTGCTCCCCAGCAAGAGGCTGCTCTGGTTGTTCTTCAGCGTGCGTGTGACGTTGCTGTGTTGGGCTTTCGGGTTTGTTGGTTTGTTTTGTGAGAATTGGAAAGGTAATTCCTCACCGAGGCCTGGCAGAAGGCCATTCCAGAAGGCAGAGACTGTTGAACAAGGATGTTACCGATGGCTGAAGTTGAGAAACCCATTTTATTCTCCCCATCCCTAGAAAAAAACCCTACCATCGCAAATTATTTTTACCACCTGCCCGCTGCAACAAAACTGAGTGGGAACCCACCTCGTGTAGTTGGCAGCATGTCTGACAGCCCCTGCCAGGCAGTTACCATCTCTGGGTTCTTTTCCAGGTCTGCGAAGTTCTTCCACACTCTGATGGCACCATCATCTTGGAGAGCACAGAAAAAGAGAACACAGTGCAACGTCACTGCTGATACAACTCTCATAATTACTTGTGCACAACAAAGGAAGAAGAGAAGCAGAACTGTAGTCATACAACCTCCAAAACTGAGTGTATCACTTGAATTTAATCCTTTTTATTAGAGTTGTTTCTCCTCTCTAATCTTACTAATCTAATCCATGAAACCTAAAGTGTTGTTCTACTGGGAACTGTTCTGGAAGAGCTTTTCTCCTTCCCTCCAATAACACCTGACATTAGATGTCGCTCCATTTCTTTGACGCATTCATTTTCTCTAGGATTTGTCTCTGTCCTCTTTGCTATTGGTGCCGAGAGCCACAGAAGCACCCTACTAAATACGAAATACAACCCCACAGTAGAAGCTGAATCAGAGCCCAGCCCATCAGCAGCAAATCTTTCAAGAACATCGTGTATTTTTTCAATTTGTTCCCCATCTGTGAAACTTTTGTGCTAAGAATCAATAAACTGAAAGGAAAATGTCCTAAAGGCCCTCTCAGCTCCTCTTCCACCTCTCTTAATTATACCCAACCTGTACATTTCAGCACGAAGTTTGAAAAGCTATTGAAAACACTTAGACTGACAGGTTTAGAACGGTTCCTTGGGAGAGGAGCAGAACTTACTCACAGCTTTACAGACCAATGAATGGGAAAGAGCTCTTCATGCTCCCTTACATGATGCAACAGGGCGTTCTAGAGACGGTTTCTCCTGGGTGAGGTATACGGGCTAGAGAGAAACTCAGAACTATTTGAGAAGTTTAGTGCTTAAAATAAGCCCTGCCTGCTCTAGACTTAGAATCATAGAATCACAGAATGGTTTAGGTTGGAAAAGCCCTTTAAGATCATCCAGTCCAACCATTAACCTACACTACCAAGTCTACTCTAAACCAATCAAGGGTACACTAGATTAAACCATGTCCCCAAGTGCCACATCTACCTGTTTTTTTGAACACTTAAAGCAGCACAAGTAAAAGAGTTTGATTTCTTACACTTTGGTTACAGCACGGTTTCTTTTTCAGCTCTGGACAGCAGCTTTTAACCAACTAAAATCACGCTGCCCGAGGTATTGTACAGGAGGAGGTTCCCATGAACTTGCAATGATAGGTGAAGACTCAGAACGGTGTAACAAATAAAGCTGCGACTGGAAATGGTTTCAGCAAGTGTTTGATTTGTTAGTCATTTGAAAAGCTTTGCAGCACCTACTTAAGCAGTTCAGAGATTTCGGTACTGCCAGAAACAACTTTCAGGTTTGATGCTGGAAATGCCTCCTCCGCTGCGACCAGGCAGGCAAGGCTCAGGGGAGGGGAAGGGTCAGCTTGGGCCAGATCCATAGAGGGGAGAGCAAGAGCTCCAGAACAGCTCACACGGACCTGAATTCTGCAAAGGCCCCCGGCCCTGCCCTCATGCGTGGGAAAACATGTTATTTACCTGTGGCAGTCAGCAGCAAGGAGCAGTCCTGTCCATTCAGGTACTCCATCGCTGTGATCCTGGTATATCGAGGGTTCCCGTTGTGGAAATAGTCCAGCTTTTCCCCTTTCTCCCAGTCCCAAAAACTTGGGGAGGAAAAAATATCCAGTCAGTTCTTGGTTCTCCATGCAAGCCGTGAAAAGACCTACTCATTACAGCAAAACTAAAAACTATATGCATTGGATACAAATTCAATTTATTTTCCTCCTTTGGTAGTCAGCATCATTTTATTAATAACGTACGTCAACCTTCTGCGAAAGAAATAGGATAAAAGCCCAACTGTAACTATTATAAATCTGTCGGGGTTCACCTGCAGCCCTCTAACCCAGCACCTCCCACAGAAAAGGGCTCGGTGCAACGCTTGCAACTACGGCACTGAGCGCCGGGGGACTCTGCCCGTCTCCCTGCCCGGAGACAGGGAAGGATGGCCACGGAGGGGAGCGGGGGCGAAGACAAGGAACAACGCGTGGCAGCGCTACCCCGCGATAATCCGCACGCGCTCCTCGACGCGCCGCTCTGAGCCCGTCCGCACGCGCCGCAGGGCAGCGAGCGCCTCAGACCCGGGGAAGCTCTTACCAGATGCTGTCTTTGC